AGCTGAGATTAAAAGATTTACTCAGTCATGTATTTTGAGTATACAATGTTTTAAGACACACAACTCCATATCCCAGAGCACAGCGTTCTTGTTTATTTTTAAACATACCATTATACCTTGGATACTCTACCCTTGGGTAAATATTCTGCATATGAATAAAGTAAGCATTGAATAGCATCACCATATCGCCACAAAAAGATTTGGAGCCACTCAATGTTTCAGTAGTATTAATTGGCTTAGGTGGTATCTGTAAAAGTTTTGCAAGTGGTGGAATGTAAAATTAATTTTACAGTAACCAAAAATTTAATCCAAGAATATAACACAAACCAACTCATTGAAATGATTAAAAAATACTCGCCACTTGCCAAAGGATATATAGCCAAAGTTGCTCAAACCATATATTATCTTTCAAATAGCAGCATAAAACCACTTTTACAAAAAAAAAAAAAGATATTATAAAAAAGAATAATATTATTATTAAAATATTGTTTTTCAAAGAACCGATCTATTTAAAAACCTGAAAATAATCTTATAAATTTTTTATAAAAGTTTAACCTAATATTATTTGTGCAAAGAAAATTAAAAAAAATATTAAAGGACTATTTCTAAAAAGCTTTCAATAAAAAATATATCCTGCAAGGAATTAAATCAATAGTATCCATTGGTGATGTTAGATATCTCGGATTCTAACATATTATTAATAATATAATTATTAATAACGTTGTATAAATTTATTAATTTTTAATTTTTTTTTAAAAATTTTTTAAATTAATTATTTAATTTTTAATTTTTAATTTCATTTTTATAATTTAATTTTTATTACAAAAACAATATAAATAAAGGTGTTAAAAAATAAATACATTAAATAATAAACATCAATTAAAATTTATTCTTAAAAATTTAATTTATATTTTTTGTTTTTAAAAATAAAAATAATAAAATTATATTTTTTTTTTTATTAATTTTTCACTTTATTCATTATAGAAAATTCTTTCTTTAGCAGTAGTGTTTAATTTAAAGTTTAAATGGTAGCGTTCTTTACTTCCAATTTTTGTTAGTTGCCAAATTTATTCATTATCAAATCTATGGTGACTTTAATTATATAACATATTTTAAGGTATGCCTTCTAGCCGAGAAAGACAAGATCTACGAAAATATCAAAAATGCCTTAATAGCTCAGTTGGTACGAGCGTGAGACTGAAGTTCTTAAGGTCGCTGGTTCGATCCCGGCTTGAGGCAATTATTTTTTGAAAATTTTTCCCTCGATATCTTTTATGTGATTTAGTTTTTTTTTTTAAAATTTGACCCAGGAAATTCTATCGAGAAAACCGACAAGTGTTAACATCATATAAAATCGAACTTTTTATAGCTACCGAATTGTAGGCTGATTTTTACACCATTCGACAGATCTTGAAAAGATAAACAACAACACATCTTTTCCACACTCCAAACACCTTCCCAAGAAATAAAAACAACACTCCAAAAACCATCATCAATCTAATATCCAAAGATCTTCAATCTTTAACAACCTTTTAGATTAACCCTCAATCTACAGCTATTCCATCTTATCCCCACACTTTACACTTATATCCAAAAAACCACTGATCAATCCCGCATTTCCAGCCTTTTACCGATATGTCTGATTCATCATCTATCTCATCTGAAACCATATATGATGAGTTTAACAGCCCCATCAACCACAACACCCCAGCAACGAAGAAACACGTTTACGAACTGTTGTCTAATGTTGATTTATCAATCAAAAAAATAAATCAACTCACCTCGCGTGAAAGAAACGGTGGCCTATATCGACTATCACTTTACTTAGGAAAAGATATCCCAAAAGATACCAAGGACAAAATCATCAAACTAATCGTTGAAAGCGACTGTTGCACAATCCCAAACGTAGGTCAAAACAAGGATAGTATCAAAATTGATATATCATTGGACAAAATACCAAA